TTGGATCCCAAGGAACATGTGCTAAAACGGGTGCCCTAAGTTTTAGTTCCTGGATTTCCCGAAGCACGAATCCCTCCATTTCCACAGCCACACGCACGAAGTTATGTAATTTACAGCACTTGCCGTGTATGCCCTAAAACATACAGGCCCGCCGCCACGCGGCCAGATATCAACATGTGACCCCCTAAACCTTACAGCCTCCCTCAAGCCCAAACCCTCAGCCCTCAACCCTAAACCCCTACATCCCAAACCCGAGACCCTGAGCCCCCAAACCCTCCCGCACCTGTTGGCAGGAGTATCTCTGCCTCGCCTTGGGACCCTTCTTTGGCGAGGTTACCCCGGGTTGGCCTTGGCCACCTCTCGTCCTGTTAGGGTTTAGGGTTGAGGGACGTAGTTTAAGGCTTTAAAGGTTTAGCGTTCGGTGTTTGGGTGTTTAGGGTTGTTGGGGTTTACTTCTTTTGGGCTTAGGGGGTTTAGGTTTCAAGGGTTTGGGGGTTTCTGGTTCGAACCTTCAGGTTTAGGGTCTTCTTTGGGCTAGGTCTTGTTACTTGTAGTGTTTACACTTCAGGGTTTCCGGCTTACGGTGCGGAAGATTGGCTGAATGTAGGGGCTTAAATCAATTCCCAATACTATTTTGGGGGGTCATTATTATAATTATAGTATAATATACACCCAAACCCTATTCCAGTTATTGAGGCCCCTGTACTGTCGCGCTTGCAGCTTTTCGGGTCTTCGAGCTTGGGGTTTCCCAACTTGAGTTCAGAAGGGCACCAACCTTTGGGCCGAAGATATCTGGGACTGAGATGCCCACGCCGAAGTTTATCTGCAAACTGCATCTCTCAACGGGCGGGAGTAATAGTTGACTTTAAAATCTGACAACCCCACACCGAGGGCGGGGAACAATGGCATGATCAACAGCCCTCAGGCCTAAACCCTACAACCCCCTTAAATCCAGGGCCTGCCCCATGTGGGCTTTTGGACCGTAGCCGCAGCAGGCATTGAAAAAGAAAGCGTGAGACAGACACAACCTCGAAACCCAAGGGTTCCTGTTATAGGGTTCCTATCAGGGTTCCTTTACGAGTCCCTTTACTGCCTCTATAGGGATGACTTTTAACCCCTTGACTCGCAGGTTACACCCTTGGGGTTATATAGGGGCTTTATGAGACTATATAAGGGGTACATAAGGGTTATATAGGGTATTTCCTAAACCTTAAACCCTTAGCCCTAAACCCAAAACCTCGAGGGGTCCCTCCTGTTGTCCCTTTACAGGTTGGCGACGAAGGGTACATCACGAAGCCCCTCCGCACGGTGGGCATCGGCTCGCTGAGGACGGAGGCGTGGGCTTGGGGTTTAGGGTTTAGGGTCTAGGGTTTAGGGTTTAGGGTTTAGGGTTTAGTTTGGGGTTTAGGGTCTACAAGTTTAGGGGTTTTGGGTTTAGGTACTTGGGAAGCTGCCTTGGTTTTTGGAGGCTCACTTAAACCCTAAACCATGATCCCACACTTCTGAATCAAACCCTGTTGTCCTGAGCCAGAAGCACCACTTTTCCCGAAGCCTTAATCTCAAGGGTTTAGGGTTTAGGGTTTAGGGTTTAGGGTTTAGGGTTTAGGGTTTAGGGTTTAGGGTTTAGGGCCCTGTAAACCTTGTAAGCTCTGGAGCATCACCACCGCTGAAACCTAAACCGCCCTAAGCCCTGTAGACCACCAAACACCTGAGCTAGATCCCACCCTAAATGAACTCTAATACCCTTGAGCCCTAAATCTCAGAAGCCTTCTAGTACCTTGAAAACCCCATAAAAACCTACCCAAAACAACCCTAGAACCCTAAGCCGGCAAGCCTCAAAATCCCATAAACCCCACCCAAAACGACCCTATAGGCCCTCGACCCCTAAAGCCGGCCCTTCCTCAGCCTCAGAAGCCGCAAGGTGTCCCCTTCCGGACGCTATGCCCGCACAGGCCGGCCTCTTGCTCCTCAAAGCCGGGCCTTCCTTGACCCTAACTTCCAAGCCCTGACTTTAAGTTCAGGGCTTTAGGGTTTAGGGTTTAAGGCTTCGGGTGTAGGGCTTTGGGCTTAAGGTTTAGGGTTTAGGGCCCTAACTTTAAGACCTAAGCCCTAAGCTGTTCCTTGCGGGGGTTTATGGCTCAGGCTTTAGAGTTCGGGTTGGCGGTTTGCTTCTATTTTTTGGGTTACTCTTGCTTGAAGAGCCGGAGTTGCGGAGTTGGTGGTATAAGCATCGGGTGGGGTGGGCAGTATTTGCGTCTAAGTTTACCCGAAAGTGCCTGCCTTTGGCTCCTGGCAGTCCAGCTTTTTAGCCGCAGCCCCTGTCCACTGTCACGACACTTGCTCTCCGCTGATTGTGGTCACAACGAGCAGCCGCGTCACACGTGGCGGCTCTTGCGTGTTTCACGCGATATCGGCCGGCTTATCATATCTCAACCAAGCGGAGAAGAAACCTGTGCCAGTGGCCAGTCGCTTGTGAACTCAGCACCGCGACGAAAAAGCATTTGCGTAAGCATGAGGCTCGATATGTTCCCTCTTGGGACAAAGCTGACCCAAGTGAGGACCGTCTCGACTGGTGGGATGCTTATCCCACCAAAGTCTCTGCAGAGTCGGCCAAAATGTTTCCTAAACCCTAAACCCTAAACCCTAAACCAATCATCTTAGTCTCCGAAGATCCCACCGGCAAGCAGATTGACCTTTTGCCGTCCGAGGCTGAGACTTACCACAAACGAGTTGCTCCAGGTGAGAGCCCTGGACCTCCGAACCAACCCCAACCCCCTAAAAGCAAAACCCTCAAACCCAAGACCCAAAACCCTAAACCCCAAAACCCCAAAACCCCAAAAACCCTAAACCCAAAACCCCAAAACCCGCAAAACCCCTGAACCCTAAACCCCAGCCCCCACACCCCTTAAGCTCCCCGAACCCCCAAGCTCCCAGACGCTGTGGCGACCTTGTAACCAGGTCATAAGTCAGATGTTAGGGTTTAGGGTTTAGGGTTTAGGGTTTAGGGTTCAGGGTTTAGGGTTTAGGGTTTTTAGGGTTTAGGGTTCAGGGTTTGGGGTTTAGGGTTTAGGCTGTGCCATGACCGTTCGACCAGGCTCAGTTTGGAACCCTCGGAAGTTCGAAGTGTCTCTGCCCAGAGCCCTTCAAGCATCGAGCTCCAAGCTCCGTACATGAAGTCTTATCGGTTTAGGGTTTAGGGGTTTAGGGTTCAGGGTTTAGGGGTTAGGGGTTTAGGGGTTTAGGGTTTAGGGTTTAGGGGTTTAGGGTTTAGGGTTAAGGGTTCAGGGTTAAGTTTGGCACCCGCCTCCTCTCGAAGGGCGGCAGTCTTGACTCAGTGCAAACAAACCCCAAAACTCTAGGCCCTAAGCCCCACAAGGATCCCTTTTCTGCTTGTTCTCCGTGCAACCGAACTCTTCAGCCTTAAACCTTTGAGTGCTGCAGCTGCCTTTCAACGGGGCCGGTTGTCTGCAAGAGTCCCTTCTTAGGATTTGGAAGAGCCCGGAGCCCTACCACCCCATCAAAAACAACCCTAAACCCTAAACCCTAAACCCTAAACCCTAAACCCTAAACCCAATAAAAAGCAAGCCTTCAGCAAACTCGCTAAGCCTGAAGCTTCCTTAAAGCCCAAGCCCCGAACCCCCGCACCATAAACCGCAAGCCTGAAGCCCTGACCCTGAAACCCCAAACCCTAAACTCCAAACCCCAAATCCTAGACCCGAATCCCTGCACCCTGAACCCTCAGACCCTAAAACCCTAAACCCTTGCAACCAAACACCAAACCCTAAATCCTAAACCCTAAAAGCATCAAAAACCCCCAAACCCTAAACCCTAAATCCTAAAACCCTCCAAATCCCCTAAGCGCCAAACTGCAGGCTACCGGATTCTGCGGCGCTTCGACGGGCCCGAGAGCTCACTGGAGCCAAAGCTGCTCCTGGCGATGCCCGCCGCCTGTCTTCTTGGGTTTGGGCGTTAGGCTTCAGGGTTTAGGGTTTAGAGCTGAGGGTTTAGGGTTCAGGGCTTGAGGGCTTCAGAGTTTAGGGTTTAGAGTTGAGGGTTTAGGGTTTAGGATTTCGGGTCTAGGGTTTAGGATTTAGGGTTTAGGGTTGAGGGTTTAGGGTTTAGAGTTTAGGGTTGAGGGTTTCTGCCTGTGTGTTGATAAGTACAAGAGGAACCTGAAGGCTTGGCGCTATTCTTTAGGGTTCCCGAGTGCAGCTGGAGTATCATAGGTTTAGGGTTTAGGGTTTAGGGTTTAGGGTTTAGGGTTTAGGGTTTAGGGTTTAGGGTTTAGGCCCAAAACCCTACCCTGCTCACTAAGGCTCCTTTGTTACTCAAACAGTCTTTTTGTGAGCCTCTCGACTTTTGGGCGTGTTCTCAGGTTGCTGCTCCCTTTACTGACCGGTTTGCCAAACGGTTTGCCTTATGGTGAGTGGACATGAGAGGTACGATTTTGGGGTTTGGTTTAGGGTTTGGGGTTTAGAAGCACAGATATAGAAATCTTTCCACATCCCGCAATCAGTCCATGAGGTTCGCATGGTTCGAGAACTGGGTCACAACGGCTTGGTTTCGTGGTATTACTATAATTATGAACTAATTACTGTTGTTTGCTGAAGATGCAGC